GCAGTAGGGCTTAATCTAAACTGGCTCAGGGGCTTTGTTGAGCGATGTCTGCTCTGGAGAGATTAGATCAAAATACCCCTAGGACTCAGATTCCCATCTCAGCTGAGAGCCTGGATCTCAGGAGCCTTGCAAGAATTCTCCTCCTGGGACAGGGGAGACAATCCTCTACACACTCTGCTACCCATGAACACAACTTTCCCAGGTTTAGTACCTGAGTATATTCACACCCGCTTGTTCAGATTTCCAAACCACTTAAGCTGATGACATGAGCGGTCTGACTCAAATGGAAAGCAAGTTGTACTCCCCTTCATTTTTCTGAATTGAATCCCCCTGGGTACAATCTTATTTGTACCTGTTCGACTCTTGTTCCACTAGGTACCCCTAGGCCATATTGGGTGCTTGCTGGGACAGGATGGCATGATCTCACAGGCTCACACAGCAGCAAGCAACAGCACAGCCTCTTCAAGACATCTCCTACCTCAGCCCTCCATTTGCCAGTTGAGAAATACAGAGCCCTTTTCAAATACCAGTTTGCTTCGCAGCTGCTGGATCACTTAAATTCAGGCTCATTTTCTAATCTACAGGTTTTTCTGGTCCAAATATTTCTAATGTATTTCTCTCTGACCCTCCCCTCTGCGGTGAACCAGTGCTGCACTGCTGCCACTAACGCTGTCACAACTGCTTAACTTCTTTCTTGTTCTTTGATCAATGTACCTGAATTTTTGAGTCTCTAAGATACTCTGGCTGTCCAGTATTCAATTTTAGTGAAATACCTTTTTCACCTACCTTGTTGAGAAGTAGTAATCTCCATCCATGAATCCTGAATCACAGAGCAACTGGGAATGCAGCCTTCCTCTACTGCGCCACCTTGAATCTCAGATGGTGGCCTTTCAAAGGGTGTTTCTCTAGAATAACCAATCACTGCTCAGCTTGAATTTGCCCTGCAGACTTAGGTCTAGGTAAGAGTTATTTCCCCTTCTGTGTCTCATGAAAAGTGTAGATGCTTCCTGTTCATTTGGATGTGTTTTTCTAGGTAAATTGCACTATAAAATGTGTATTAAGAGGTCAGGAATAGTGCACCTTGGACAACCTACAATAATCTTATTTTATGCCATCACTTTTGTCATATTTGAAGTCATGGTAATTGCCTAGCCTATCTGTTCTAGTAAGTACAGCTTGATTTTCAGCATCCGGAATCATTTCCCTTCCTTATAATGATTTCTTAAACTCATCCATCCCATCCTGGGGACCCAGGAAGATTCACTCAAACCAAAACTGAAATTAAAATATGTGCCTCTCTTCAAATCTATTCTGTGCTTTAATTAACTGTTTAAATCAGTTAATGATGTTTCTTATACTCTCAGGTTAAATTATCTCTAGATAGCTCTAATATTTTTTTCCAGATAGTGATAATACAAATTTGCATAGTAAAATACAATAGTCACCTTCACAATAATCTGTCTTCTTTTAGATTTTTTAATTCTTTTTTTAATGTTTTTTTAAGTTGTTGATATACATTTATTTATTTAT